ACAACGATGAACAAAATGACAAGTTTAAAGTCCAAATGAAACGTTCTACATCTCTAAAAGACTATCTCCTAAGAATGCTGCTTTTGAAAGATATAGGTACTCCTAAAGAAAACTGTTTTTGTCTTCTGAAGAAAACTGTCTTTGAAAAACATTCTACTGAAGAAGACTTCCTCTAAGTAACTGGTCTAAAAAACGCTTCTGAAAGACACTCTTCTAAAGAATACTGTCTCTGAAACTTATTCTTCTAAAGGAAACTATATTTTTAATACATTCTTCTAAAGAAAACTGATTCTGAAAGATACATTTCCATAACAGTCTTTAAAATATATAAAGTATTTTTAAGATAAATAGGTATTTAAATATTGTGTTCCATATGTTGTAATAAAGCAAATCACAAACTAGTAAAAATGGGGACACCAAATAACAACCTATAACAACTTTAAGTAAGTTCAACAAACTACAGGAAATTTATACCTATAAAGAACAATTAAAACTGGCGCCTAAAAATGTTGAAAGTAAAATTATCCATTTTGTTTCCCAAAGAAAAATAGACTATGAACTCCAAAGCAAAATTGGAAAACAAAATGACAGATTAATTAATGTTTGATAAGATTATTGATTTTATTTTGCTCTTGTAAGCAGGGTGAGGGGAGTAATAACAAATAATAATTTAAAATTTTCTTATAAAAAGGAGAAATAACAATTGAAAAGATGAGATGTAAAAAAATGAAAAATAATAAAAAAAAAACAATATAAACAGATTTAATAAGATAATATCTAATAAAAAGACAATGAATGACGTTGAATATATGTAATAAGAAAATAACATTTAACAGAGAGTATATTGACAAAAGCAGGAGCAAAAAGGGAGAGAGAAGTAATCAAAAAGGGGGTTATTTGAAAGAATACCAGTAGTGAAATGTGTTTAAGTGAGTCAGCAGCAGTGTAGAAAGAAATAAATAATAATGATTAATACTTTTAAATAAACCTTTTAAATAATTACTATTTTTTTAATATTATGTATTTAAAAAAAAGAAACACTACTTTTTTTATAAGATTTTTGTTGCTTGCGTAGCTTGTCTAAAAAAAAAACTCAACATAGACGACGCCGCCACCTTAATTTAATTGAAACATTATTTAGTTACTTTCAGTTATAATTAACTATTTTATAAAATTGTTAACACATTACCACTTGTTTCAATTGTTTTACACTTTAAAATAAAAAATTAATAATTTTTTCTTAATTTAAAGTATAATTTTTCACTTTTTTTTGCCAACAGCACCACCCTACGTCACACGAATACGAAAAAGAAACTTTACTTAAAAGTGTGGTGAGAAAAATTAGTAAAACGGAGATTTATGACAATACACCAGCAACAACAACAAAGTTACCAAGAAAATTTATAATTCACCACAATTATGATGATGACGGCGACGTAATTTTTTCCACTCTTTTTTTTTGCAATTATAACTTCCACAAAAAGTCCTAATTCATAAAATTTAAATACTTTATTAACACTTGTTTCTTTACTTTAAAAACTTCATCAAATATATATTATTTCTTTTTATTTAAAATAAAACACCAACTATTGCTGGACAAAAACCATTGATACTAGGTATAAACGCCTTTTTTATAGATAAGTTTTAATTCTTTTCAATCTTGCTGAAACATTTAATAAATTATATTATGTTTAATTTTATATTAAATGAATTATTACTTTTTTCTCTTTAAATAATCTAATTTTCACAATTCTTTTCTCCAATATTAACTTTTTCTTTCTGCTATCAGGAAACAATGGTGAGAATAAATGACGACAACGAATAGAAAGAAAAAAAACGAATGCATCAATAAACAGAGATGCCAGCTTATATGAAATTGTAAAAATAAAACAAACCTTTTTTTGCTAAGAAATCCAAACAATTATTCAAAAAAATTTAAAATTAAAGAAAATACTATATAAATAACATAAATTAACATACATAAAAATAAAAACTCTGCTGAAATAAACAAAAAGTTTGCTTTAATTTCTAAATAATATGGCAACATTTTATTTTCATACAACACTGCTAAAAATTTGCTTTAATTCCCCCCACCAAAGAAAAGAGAAAACAATAGTGAACTCTAACAAAAAAAAGAAAAAGCAAATAATGTAAAATAAATTCACCACATGCCGTCAAATGCTATACAAATCCATTCAATACAAATAAAAAATTTTTGCCATGTTTTCGAAAATATTAACACTTTCTAACTAAAAAACTATTAAAAACAATAAATTTTCATACGCACCAATTAATTATGAAAAATTTACACAAATTTGTGCAGAATAATTACGAAAAACTGCTGGAAATTAATTAAAAACGGGAGAGCAATGTTTTAACTTGTACAATGGAAAAAATTAGCAAACCGACAATGACAAAAGAACAGTATTGCACACACATAGATACAAAATCAGACATTACTTGCAAAAACTAAAGGAGTAAAAGAGACAACTAGCTTAAGGCTAATTAGAAACTTTAACAAGAAAAAGCTGCCACGTCGTACTTCAATAGTTAAGGTGAAAATGTAACAACTATATGTATACCGTAATTAGTGCTACCAGATGTCTTGTAAACATACACCGGTTTATTGTTGTTCAAAGAGGTGAATTTAAAAGGAAAAAATAAATATGGCGTCTTTTGCTACAAATTCTTTTTGTTTCTATTCTTTTCTGTTATACAGGTTACACACACACACACTTATACACCATCCAAAAAATATGTTTTATCCAAAATCACCTTTTTTACGCTATCCACTTGTTGAATCACAACTTTGCAAAGGGAATGTAAGTATTACGATTGTTTTTTAAAGTTTATGCAAACTTTTTTCGTAGTCAACACAATTTTTTATTGAATTTTTGCTAAAATTTTCTTTGGACGTGGAAAGTGTAATGTTTTCTTTGCGTAAAACAATTCAACATACCACGATATGACAAGAAAAATGTCAGTAGCTAAGAAGAAAGTAAAATAAATGTTAAAGCTAAAGAGAGAAGGAATAATAAACAACACAGGGTTGTAGTTATAAAAAGCATAAACGAAATCGTAAACGTAACAGTAAAAATTTAAATCGTTAAAAAATAGTTTTAAAATTTTACTTAATAATTGTATAACATTTATAACTATTATTTTTCGTTATTTCAGTTGAATTTACTAGAAGATCTATTAACATGGCTTTGTCGTACTCCTACCAATACCACCTATCGAGTAAATCTTCTAACATCTTCCCTAGAATCTTTTAAAACTGAAGTTGAAATAATTTTGAAAAAACGTTATGCGGTTCCTCCGAAAATTTATACTTTCGCAGATTTGCCCGAACTTTTATGTATAGGTCCTACAGAAATATCACCCAAGCCTGATGAGCAACAAAAAGAAATCATTGTGGACACTTGCTGTGGTGCGGCTGTATTGAGAGGAGCTCATATTTATGCAATTGGAGTCCTGGCCATGGAATCTGGTACCAAAGAGGGTGATTTGGTAAATGTTTATGCAGATTTGGAGCAAAAATGTAAGAAAGGTTTAAATATACGCTATGAATCCAATGAAAAGGTGTATTTGGGCCAAGGAAAAGTGTTAATGCAACGCTATCAAATATACAGAACCGAAGGTCCTCAACAGGGCATAGCAGTGGAAATGCTTAATACCATATCGGGAGTACCCTCTATTGGGGATTTAAGCAATTCTAAGGTATTACTACAAAATCTACCCTCCATTGTTTGTGGTAGAGTATTAAACCCTAAACAAAATGAATTGATTTTGGATATGTGTTCAGCTCCCGGTAATAAAACCACCCATTTGGCTGAATTGATTAAAGATCAGGGCTGTATAATAGCTTTAGATAAAACGGAAAATAAAATAAAACTTGTTAAAGATAAAATTGCCAGAAACCAACTGAAATCGATTAAAGCTTATGCCTTTGATTCTACAAAATCTTATAATGAAGATTTATCATGCAACAATGCGGATTTGAAACCACCTTTTAAGTCACAAACTTTCGATCGCATTTTATTAGATGCTCCCTGCAGTGCTTTAGGCAACAGACCCCTATTGTCTAGTAATATGTCACCAAAAATGCTGGAATCTTATGCCAAAGTTCAAAAGAAACTATTTGCCAATGCTGTGCCACTGCTGAAAACAGGTGGCATTTTGGTTTATAGCACCTGTACAGTTAATATGGCGGAGAATGAAGAAATGGTAGTATGGGCTTTAGAAAAGTTTCCCGAATTAAGTTTAGAACCTGCTACGCCAGTATATGGAGCAGCAGCTTGGCCTTGTGAGGGTTTAAGCGAATTCGATCGCTGTAAGTTACAACGTTTTGGTTCTACGGATAATAAAATGGATTCGGTAGGATTTTTTATTGCAAAATTTGTGAAAAAATAAATTTATTGAGCTATTGAATTGCGTTGTGTGGCGTTTTAATGTGGGTGGTTGTATGCAGCCAAAAGTTTGGTTGTTTTATTAGAAGTGTTCACTAGAGTTTAGCCTAGTCTATAGTCTGAACTATACTGAAGTTTGAACTCTTTACTACAATCTTATCTAGACTTAACTATAGTCTAGTCATTGCTATGGTCTGTAGTCTTTTTCTCATGCTGATTAATGCGAGATTACCCCATATCTTCTCACTATTAGTAAGATATTTGAGAACTTTAGATTGTTAATTTTAAACTGTGGAAATTTACAGTCGAAAATAATTTATTTTTGGAAAACGTTTGTTTTTATTTTAGCTTAGTTTCAGCGTATCGATTTAATTTAATTATAATTCAAAATTGATATTTAATTAGTTGTTGTAGTTTCTTACTACTTATATAACTCTATATTTAAATTAAATTTAAAAATATGCACTTTTAATACACTAATATAAATTGTGTGTTATTTAAAATATTAAAATAAAATTAAACCAAATTGTTTTTATATTTTTATTACTATTTTATTTTGTTTTAATTAAGTTTTTGACATTATAGTTTATTTTTATTATTTATTGATAATATATCCATTGAATTGGATAAATAATGTAAAATAACTACTGTTATTAATGTTAAAGTTTCAAATGTTTTTTTTTTTGTTGTTTTAAATTAAAGTATTAAATTTAAAGTAGATTATTTAAAAACTAATAAAAAAAAGAAAATAACTTAACAAAACGAAAAAATAAAATGAATAATTTACAAATTGATTTCTGTTGTCTCTATTAAAAAATATATATAAACCAATGATGTCTGATCAATTAAACGTTTACGTATTTATATTTAAATTCTAAATATTATTTTTGTTTCTTCTAAATCGTAAAGTATTAATTAAATTACATTGTCTGCCATGTATAGAATATTTAAAGCGAGGGTTTGAATTTTTCTTATTTTGTTTTTGTTTTTTTGTTGTGAAGTGGAGGAAAAAATTCGTTTACACATTGATTATGTTAGCCTTAAGCAGCTATATTAAGTGCCTTAAATTCATCATCATGCATTTCTGTCATCATAAATGTACCATCTTGTAATAATAGAACAACACGACGGGTGCCACCTGAAAGTGGAAAATAAGAAATTTAATTAGTAAATTGCTTCAGGTCCAGTTGAGTTCAGTTTTAGTTGAGTTCAGTTTTAAATCAGATCTACTTCAATTCTAAATCAGTTCCAGTTCAGTTCTAGTTCAGTTCTAGTTTAGTTCTAGTTCAGTTCTAGTTCAGTTCTAGTTCAGTTCTAGTTTAGTTCTAGTTCAGTTCTAGTTCAGTTCTACTTCAGTTCTAGTTCAGTTCTAGTTTAGTTCTAGTTCAGTTCTAATTCAGTTCTAGTTCAGTTCTAGTTCAGTTCTAGTTCAGTTCTAGTTCAGTTCTAGTTCAGTTCTAGTTCAGTTCTAGTTCAGTTCTAGTTCAGTTCTAGTTCAGTTCTAGTTCAGTTCTAGTTCAGTTCTAGTTCAGTTCTAGTTCAGTTCTAGTTCAGTTCTAGTTCAGTTCTAGTTCAGTTCTAGTTCAGTTCTAGTTCAGTTCTAGTTCAGTTCAGTTCTAGTTCAGTTCTAGTTCAGTTCTAGTTCAGTTTTAGTTCAGTTCTAGTTCAGTTTTAGTTCATTTTCAGTTCAGTTCTAGTTCAGTTCTAGTTCAGTTCTAGTTCAGTTCTAGTTCAGTTCTAGTTCAGTTCTATTTCAGTTCTAGTTCAGTTCTAGTTCAGTTCTAGTTCAGTTCTAGTTCAGTTCTAGTTCAGTTCTAGTTCAGTTCTAGTTCAGTTCTAGTTCAGTTCTAGTTCAGTTCTAGTTCAGTTCTAGTTCAGTTCTAGTTCAGTTCTAGTTCAGTTCTAGTTCAGTTCTAGTTCAGTTCTAGTTCAGTTCTAGTTCAGTTCTAGTTTAGTTCTAGTTCAGTTCTAGTTCAGTTCTAGTTCAGTTCTAGTCCAGTTCTAGTTCAGTTCTAGTTCAGTTCTAGTTCAGTTCTAGTTCAGTTCTAGTTCAGTTCTAGTTCAGTTCTAGTTCAGTTCTAGTTCAGTTCTAGTTCAGTCTAGTTCAGTTCTAGTTCAGTTTTAGTTCAGTTCTAGTTCAGTTTTAGTTCATTTCCAGTTCAGTTCTAGTTCAGTTCTATTTCAGTTCTAGTTTCAGTTGTATTTCAGTTCTAGTTCAGTTCTATTTCAGTTCTAGTTCAGTTTTAGTTTAGTACTGTACTAGTTCAGTTTAAGTTTATTTTTACTTTACTTCTAGTTCAATTCTAGTCCATTTGTAGTTCAGTTCTAGTTTAGTTCTACTTCAGTTCTAGTTCAGTTCTAGTTCAGTTCTAGTTCAGTTCTAGTACAGTTCTAGTTCAGTTCTAGTTCAGTTCTAGTTCAGTTCTAGTTCAGTTCTAGTTCAGTTCTAGTTCAGTTCTAGTTCAGTTCTAGTTCAGTTCTAGTTCAGTTTTAGTTCAGTTCTAGTTCAGTTTTAGTTCATTTCCAGTTCAGTTCTAGTTCAGTTCTATTTCAGTTCTAGTTTCAGTTGTATTTCAGTTCTAGTTCAGTTCTATTTCAGTTCTAGTTCAGTTTTAGTTTAGTACTGTACTAGTTCAGTTTAAGTTTATTTTTACTTTACTTCTAGTTCAATTCTAGTCCATTTTTAGTTCATTTTTAGTTCATTTCTAGTTCAGTTCTAGTTCAGTTCTACTTCAATCCTAGTACAGTTCTTAATAGCAGTGTTTTGGTCTAATTACCTGGAGATGGTAAATCAGCTTGTACAACTTCAGCTGGTATATTCGCCTCTTGTCCATCGGAACCGTCTCCCGTTTGTATACACAATTGACTGGTGGCGCCAGGTTGAGCATTCGCTGCTTGCACTGCAATTTGTTGCTGTTGTTGTTGCTGCTGTGCTGCAGCCAGTGCCTGATGTTGGGCTAGTTCAGCTTCTGTCATGGTCACTACTTGAGTGGTACCATCTTCTTGTGTGGTCTTAACTAAATACTGACCACCACCACTGCCATCACCACCAGCTGCCGCTGCCAGAGCTTCAGCTTGTTGTTCGGCTGGT